AACATATTTAAGGTAATTGATGGGTTTATTTTTAATCCGAAAATTTTGATATTGTGCCTGTGAAAGTATTTGTTCAACAGTGATAGGAAAACTGGTATCTTGCCAGGTGTTATCTGAATTATTTCACATATTAAAGCCCTATCCCCTAGTACCTCAGAATGTAACTGTATTTGGAGACTGGGCTCTAAAAGAAGTGATTCAGTTGAAATAAGACCCTTAGAGTAGGGCCTAATCCAACCTGACTGGTGTCATTGTAAGAAGAGGAGATGTAGACCCATATCTGTGGGCACACAGAGGGAACACCACGTGAGGACGCCCAGAGAAGGTGGCCATCTGCAAGCTAAAGAGAGAGGCCTCAGAAGAAACAACACTGCTGACTTCTTGATCTTGGACTTCCAGCCTCCAGGACTGGAGAAAGTAAATTTCTGTTGTTGAAACCACCCAGTCTGTGGTATTTTGTTGTGGTGGCCCTAGCAAATGAAGATGCCATGATATAATGAAAAGTGAGTGTGTAGAATGTTCAAGAGTTTATCAATTTGCTTGTCAATCTGTTTACTTCCCTGCTAATGTCATCTTTCTATTTATTTATTCATAAAATATTTTATTTATTTATTTGAGAGAGCATGTGGGCAGGAGGAGGGGAGGGAGAGGGGCAGAGGGAGAAGCAGACTCTCTGCATGCTCAATCCCAGGACCTGAGCGAAGGCAGACGCTTAACCCACCGAGCCACCCAGGTGCCCCTCATCTTTCTATTTAGAAACTAATTTGTATGAGTGAATGAAAAGAAAAATACATTGTATTAAATCATTAACAAGATAGAGAACTTCTGTCAAAAATAAGTACAATTTTCCCTCCCAGTAATGAGTTTAAAACACATTTCCAGCAACTTTGTGCACTCCCACTAAATAATATTTTGAAAATAATCTGTGATAATCCTGGAGGAATTATACAAAACTAAGTATTCTTCTGATTTTTAAGACATATTTTGGAAATGTCTAAGAATAGCCATTTTTCGTTACTATAAAAAGTGATGTCAGTCACTGAAAAAAAAGTCTCAAAGTGCATTTGGGTAATATAATCCAGACAAGTTCATACAGGGGCCTTAGGGTGCCTGGGTGGTTCAGTCAGTTAAGCGTCTGCCTTTGGCTCAGGTCATGATCCCAGGGTCCTGGGATCGAGTACCGCATCGGGCTCCCTGCTCAGCGGGGAGTCTGCTTCTCCCTCTGCCTGCCGCTCCCCCTGCTTGTGCTCTCTCTCTCTGGGTCAAATAAATAAATAAAATCTTTGGGAAAAACTAAAACAAAACAAAACAAAACAAAAACAGACAGTGGCCTTAGTCATCTCAGAGAATCTTTACTCCCCAAAATAACTAGAAATTAGAAAATGGCAGATGCTTAATAAATATTAATAACCAGAGTAAGAGCTCCTATTTTGCTCTTTGGGGATGCAGTGGTTTTGTTTTCCATATTGTCATCCTTGCAGTGGAATACATATTTTCTGTTACACATCTTAATTTTATTTTGGCTCTTAGGAAAAACTATTGTTTTTCTAAGAGCTACGGGAGGACAAAAGGCATATTCAACTATTCATATTAAATAATCAAAAGACCAAAAAATAACAAGGAAAATGCCAAAACAAAGTTGTTATTTTAGAGGTGAATAATAGATGATTTGCACTTGCAATCAGTAACGTAATATATATAAAATACCACTTTAGGTGAGCTGTAAGAAGTGAGTATGTTCTGGCCAATGACATTCCCGTCAACTGCTATGCAGTTTATATTTAATTGAACTCAAGAAAAGGACACTTTTGCATAAGATTTAGAGATTTACATCAGCAAACTCCTTCTCAGAACTGCCAATTGTACTGGTGGGTCTTTTAATCATGTATTTTTAGAAAGTAAGTAGTATCACGAGTCAAAGATTTCCAATGAAGTTATTAACTATTGAGTTTAACTATTGTGTTTTTAGAGAATCCACGAATTTTAAGGGGAACTCAGAATCAGGATATGGGGGAGAAAAACATCGCCCTCAAGCGTCACAGAGGAGCAAGCGGAAAGCTTCAGAAATTCACAAAAAGGAGATACATGTAAATAATAAAGTCCTGTTAAAAATAAGAACCAAGAAAGAATTCTGAAAAGCAAGGGAATTCTGCAAAGGACTTTACAAAAATCAGGCAAGTTTCAAGAGGATGGTATAAAAGTAAATCTTAAGCTCCCGCTAAAGTGCTTAGCTAGCAGAATAAACCTATTTCGGTTTCTTTCTTGCAGCTCACAATTCTTTTTATAGGCTGTGAGGCAAAAGCAGAAACCTTCAGAAGGTCTTGGGAAATGAACAAATTGGGTTAAGTATGACTTTTAGGAAACCTAATCTGTTTCCATTAGATAAGATTTGATGGTACTTGTTGCAAGTCAGACTAATCTGTGGATGAATTGCCCCACCTTCACTTTAGGGTCTTTGAGGGATATAATGAATGAATGTAAAGAATTTCAAGGTGACTTCTCGACCAGCAATGTCCAATAGAACTTTCTGCAATGATGCAAAGCACTGTGTCTTCTGTGCCCAGTGTAGTAGACACTTGTGGCTATCGAGCACTTTAAATGTGGGTAGTGCCGCTGATGAACTGAATTTTAAGTTAAATTTAATTTAGATTAATTCAAATTTAACTAGCTTCATGTGGCCACTGGTCACTATATTAGACAATGCAGTTCTAGATCCTTTCTGTCCCTTTTAACTGAAGGCTTCAAGCATCATTTTACTACATATCCTTGGGTTTTCTGGGCTTAAATATTACCTAAGGCTTCTAGGCTCCCCAGGGGTGGGGTGATCATATAATTGTCCAAACTGGGATATTTTGAGAAAGACAGGGAGTATCAACGATGAACAATTATGATGAGACAAGAGGCATAATCTAGGATGGTCCAAGGCCCATAAGAAGGTATGGTCCTCCACCCATAGGGTTTGTTGCTCAAGGGTTCCGTTGAGAAGTAACTGGGTTTTACTTCACTTCTTTTTAGGGTGCCATTACAGACAAGGTTTAAGTATCTTCTTGGGTGCACATTTTCATCAACCATGGTTTTCTTTGCCTTAACAAACATTTATCAAAATCTTTATAACTCATTTCTGCTTTCCCAGTGATTCCCAAACATCAAGTAAAGCAATGTCTAACGATACAAAATGACCAACTAAAAGTAGAAGCAAATAATCAGTCATGCTGATCTCTGAAATTAGACTAAGTATCTGGATAGCTAAGTTAGGTTGGATATTTTAAGTTTTCTTCTGGCTTTTTGGTAAGAGGCAGAGAGAGCCAAAAAGACCAGAGGTACTTCTTTGCAACAAAGTCACTCAGGGTTCATGGACAGATTAAAATTCTCCCAAAGGGATTAAACTAGGCAGGCTGAGTTTGCTGCAGTTTATTTAGCCAGATCCTAAATTCTGGAGGGAGTGGATCCTGGAAACATAAAGGTAAGTTGCTTTGGATACTCTTTTAGATTCTGCTATTGGAAGAGGAAGCACATTAACATCAGCTTTTAAAATGAATATCTATTTAAAGCGTATTTCGAGCCCCAAGTCCCCTCCTTGCCTTATCTCGGTGGATGGCTGCCAATTGTATTCTCACCCCAACAGAAGTCTGGGGTTTTGTTTTCTGGAGAGATCGCTGAAATGCAGGATGCTGGGCACATAACCTAACCCTAATCTTAATTTAAAAAAAATTTTTTAATATTTACTTTTTTTAAAAAGATTTTAGTTTTTATTTATTTGAGAGAGAGAATGAGATAGAATGAGCATGAGACGGGGGAGGGTCAGAGGGAGAAGCAGACTCCCTGCTGAGCAGGGAGCCTGATGCAGGACTCGATTCCGGGACTCCAGGATCATGACCTGAGCCGAAGGCAGTCGCTTAACGAACTGAGCCACCCAGGTGCCCCCCTACCCCTAATCTTAACTCAAATCCTAATCCTAACCCTACTCCTAAAATCTAACCCCTAATCCCTAACTCTAAATAACCCTCTGGAGAGGTCTCTGAAATGCAGGATACCAGGCACATACCCTAAGCCTAATCCTAACCCTAACCCAAGATCTGAGAAAAAAACCAAGATGTTGTATATATACACAATGGAATATTACTCAGCCGTAAAAAGAATGAAATCTTGCCATTTGCAACAACATGGATGGAGCTAGAGAGTATAATGCTAATCGAAATAAGTCAGTAAGAGAAAGACAAATACCATATGATTTCATTCATATGTAGAATTTAAGAAACAAAACAAACGATCATAGGGGAAAAAGAGAGAGAAACAAACCAAGAAACAGACTCTTAACTGTAGAGAACAAACTGATGGTTACCAGAGGGGAAGTGGGTGGGGGTATGGGTGAAATAGGTGATGGGGATTAAGGAGGGCACTTGTGATGAGCACCGGTGTTATACAGAGGTTTTGAATCACTATATTGCACACCTGAAACTAATATTACATTGTGTGGTAACTGGCTGGAATTTAAATAAAAACTTAGAAAAACAAAAGATCAGCGCTTAGCATTACATTCAGCCAGAGAGGAGCAAGTCACTGCAGAGGACTTGAGGTTTCCCCTTTTTAGAATTCAACCTGTTTTGAAATAACCTAAGTGGGATTTTGCTTTGATGTAAGATACAGAACATGGATCAGAGCATCAAGTCATAAAAATAATTTAAAAAAAATCCAATTGCGTCCATACACAAAATGTCCCCAAAGCCTACAAATTCTCATGACAAGCCACTTCGTGTGGAATCTCTCTGGCATGGCCTGGCATTTCGAATCCTGCCTCCTTTTATAACACACTTTGTGCCGAACACAGTAGAGTTTTGTATTAAAATATATTTCAGAATTCAATAGGCATGTGAATGAACAGGAGCAGAGAAACTATTATTTCAGGAGGTTTACCTGTAGGAAAAAGAACTTAGCAATATAGTAATTCAAATAATCAGAGGTAGTTCTCTGGCTCATTTTGTTAAAGGTTTTCCACCAACCTGATAGCTCGAATGACAGTTTTAAGTGGTGGGGTGAGGTCTTCGACTGATACATCACACTGGCAACCCTTCTCATCATATACATCATCAGTGCCAAGCGCTGTGTCAGCTGCAAGAGAAAATTGTCAGTTACAGAACACCACCACCAGCAACTGGAAACATGTTTGCTGAATTGGTAACACATAGCAACAGGGGGGAATCTCAGAGACTAAGCTTGTAAATCCAGAGATGTGTAAGGTCAGCCAATTGTTTTCCCCAATATTATTCCTTCTCCTTTTTTCTACAACCTTATTAATTGTATGTGATTTGACACGGATACCTTTCTGAGCTATTTTCCACAGGGAAGATGGAGCTGTTAACACACTGCCTTTCCAGAAGGGGTGATGGATTTGTGTTGATCCACCCATGCTCTTTTGCCCAGTTCTTTTGAAACTAACTGCCAGCATTTAAATAACAGCTGTTTCGAGTTAGGCAAATAGTCTTTGGATACTTAACTAACTGGCCTGTGAACATAGAGCTTGAAGCCCATGACACTGACCCCATTAGCCCCATGCCCCAAACAAGAGTGGAAGCAGCCATGTCCAAGAATACGTACTACTTAACATTTACTGGACACAGGCAGCTCAGAAGAGAGCTTGCTTAAGATAATATGGCCAAAGCTGAGAAGATCTTCAGATTGGACAATAAAATTGGTTCCTAATAAACCAAGCAAATTAATTTTTGGGTTAATTGCAAAGTTTGGAGAAGGGGGAAGGGTGATAATAAATACCAAATTAATAAAGATTTATAAAATTAATAAGGGATAAACATATCATTGCAGCTTTGTTTTTGGCAATAAGATATTGAAAACAAGTTAAAATTTCTGGAACGGGGGATGGATTAAATAAATACTGGTATGTTTATATAATGGAATATTAGGAAGCTATTAAAGTGATGTTGAAGGCCAACGACTGAGAAATGTCACAATTTATTATTTTTTTAAATATCTATCTGGGATAGATATCTATCTGGGATTAGCAATAATTTTATTCTTTTTGCTTGGCTGTATTTTCTAAAATTCCTACAATGAATATGAATTACCTTGGTAATCAAGTAAATACAGTAATAAAAACACACTCGTGAGAGATGAGGTATGTAGCCTCCAAATAGTATTTAAGCCTCTTTCAATGTGGAGATACACTAAAGCACTAACACTGCTTTCTGTTGTCTTTGCTTGGCCCAGCATTCCTTGGCTAAGCCATGAAAAGAAGAGAATGTGTCGTGAGTTGTCTTGGTTGGGTTCAAAATCCTGAAAGGCTATTAGAAGTCCATTCACTGAAGCCGTGCTTATATTTGGACTGCAGCTGGGGCATCATTTAGTGAAGCTATTTACTGTGTGGTTGTTCAGTCTACTGTGTGCCAAGAGCGGAAGAAGTGGGATGGGAAGAGATGTAGATGGGTCTTCACAGCTCTGCTGCATGGTCCTTTGGGCCCTCTTACCCTCAAGCCTAGTAAGAGGGAGAGACAGGGCCACCACCTCACAGTGATGAAAATAACGGCAACCACTCACTGAAATTTATGCCAGGCAGGCATTTAAGGGAAGCTTCTGCCGATCTTAGTTTTCTTACTGAGAGCCACTCTACAAGTTAGTGGTGATATTATGCCTGGTTTTTAGAAGCCAAAACTGAGGCTCAGAATAGGTAAGTATCTTACCTGAGGCCACACAGGTGGTCAGTGGAGCAAGTGAGTTGCCAGAGATTGTTACTAAAATCCAGTTCCCCAAGGCTCTTACATTGCCTCACCCAGTGTCAGAATGCCTTCAGGGTTCAGCAGTGACTTGCAACGTGTCAGGCGAGAGCAGAGGAGAGGGCTGGCCACGCGGGCTGCCTATCCCTGCTGGGTATGTCCAGCTTCTCTCCAGAGAAGTCTGCCACTGTTTAAATGAGAGTATACATGTTGACTCTGTCTGACACTTGGTTCTGACTCAGTGATGCGCTTGAGGGGAGCTGGCCCATTTCGCTTGATTGACCACCTATGCAACGGAGCCCTTTTAGTGCACCACATGCCCAAGGTTAGACGACATTCTTCTAGGAGCTGTTGGCAATTTCTTCCTCTGATTTGATCCTAACCTGCTTTCAGTGGGTGGAGTAGGCGGACTAGTATTGCCCTCAAATTCATGTCCACTTGGAACATCAGAATATGACCTTATTTGGAATAAGGGTCTTTGCAGATGTAATTAAGGTAAGGTTCAAGATGAGACCATACTGGATTAGGGTGGGCCCTCAATCCAATGGATGTGTCCTTCTAAGATAGAAAAGGAGAAGGTATAGGAAACAAAGAGAAGATGGAAGTGGAGATTGGACTGATGCATCTACAAGGCAAGAACACCAAGAATTTTGGGCAACCACCAGAATCTGAGAGAAGCATGGGATGCTTTCTCCCTCAGAGGCTCCAGAAGGAAACAACCCTGGTGACGCCCTGATTTCAGACACCCTGATTTTGAACTGGGAGAGAATAAATTTCTGTTGTTTCAAGCCACCCAGTGGGTGGTCATCTGTTATGGCATTCCTAGGAAATGAACACAATTGGGAAAACTTTTCTTCATCGTTTCCGAATCTTCACTCAAGGACAATAATGATGACGACGATAATAGTAATAAGTGCTTTCTGGGGAAATCTAATTATGTGCCAAGAACTTTAATTGCTTCAAGCCCCACAAGAGGTATATATTATCACCCCCTATTTTACAGATTATGAAAGTGAGGCACAGAAAGCTAAGAAACTTGCTCAAGGACAAATGAAGAGAAAGTGACAGAACCAGAATTTAAATCTAGGCTGTTGGGCTTTGGAGCTGCATTATTAAATTCTGCCTGACTCTGAGTCTCCCTTCTGCCTCCTTCCAGATTTGTCTTTCTTCTCCCTTGTTGCCATTTGGATTCGCTTCTCTTGCATTACATTTGCATCCATGTGGCTGTGCAGCTGCCCTCACCGTCGCAGGTGAAGTGACCCCAAACACTGAGAGAGAATTGTATTCGGGGGGAGTGTGGTCACCATGGCCATGTGCTAAGCCAGAGCATACCCTAAAGGAGACCTGGAAATACAAATACCCTGGAGTTGCGAGGGGCGTGTGTGTGGGGTGAGAGATGCAGGGGGCTCACACAGAGGCTGAATGATCACCAGATGCCGTTATGGAACCCTCTGAGATACCCAGATGCTAGCTCCCTACAGGAAATATCCAGTAACGCACTTATCAGGATTCCTGGTACAGAATTCACAAAAGTAATTTTTTTAAAAGATTTATTTGTTTATTTTAGAGAGCGAGAGAGCGAGAGCACAAAGGGGAAAGGCAGAGGGAGAGAGAATCTGAAGCAGAGTCCACACTGAGCGCATGCCCGACATGGGGCTTGATCTCACGACCCTGAGATCATGACCTGAGCCAAAATGAAGAGTCAGATGCTTAACTGACTATGCCATCCAGGTGCCCCATTCGCAAAAGTATTTTATGCTGCCCTTCAGAAAAGAAGAATGTGACTACTTTCCCTCTTCTGAATTCTAGTGAGAGGAGCTTAAACTACGGTCCCATTTTTTTTTTTATCTCAGAAAACTGGGGAACACTGGAGAGTTTATAGGGAAGGCGGATCCTTCAATGCCTGTCCCAATGACTTATCTACTTGAAAATACCATATAAGCAACCATAACACTATGATGTGTGTCCAAAACAATTGAATAGCATAAAATACAGGGTCCTTTAATTATGAAGTTAATGGAAAACTTTATCAGCAGGTGTGTACTGTCACAATAAGCACAAATGTAAAGATAGTGAAAACATAATGTTCACACTGACTGTCAGTGAAACTGGGAACATTCCAAATGATTATGAGACAGTTTCCTTCCAGCCTAATGCTATTCTACCTCACCCCTGTCCTTCCTGTACCCCAATAAAAGCTTCAGCCTAGCCATTCTGTTTAGGAACAGGCTGGAGAGGAGATTGGAGTTAGTTACCAACTGTATCATATCCAAATGCACCTTACTGTGGCATATTATTATACCATTAATAACTTGATTGTTGAAGGCATAAATTAAATTCTCAGTCTTTAAAAAATATTTTTTGTAGGTTTGGTCAGAACAAATGAATAGGAACTGCATCTTTGCTGGCATATATTGAAGCAAGGGCTGAGTTAGGAAATTTTTCTCCTTATTTTAAAGCCACAAAATTGGGGAAAATGCTGTCTTTCTCCTTCATAACTATCTTGAGATGTCCATTTTCTTTCCAGGGAGGTTAATAACACATTAAATGTCTTTCACATGATTCCCAGAGGCTTAAAACCCTTAGTAAATTTTAAGACACCTGGGTGGGGCTACATTTTCAGCCAAGGGTGGCTCTCTGCTCTCCAACCACACACCTGGCTCTCTGCCCTTGCATTTTGGGAGAGGTGGGTTATGGGTATATAAGCTCATGTGAACATCGGTCTGCACAAAAGCTAATCACGAAAAGCAAGATGCCAACAGGGTGAGATGCTCCCCAAAGTCCTGCTCCCTGTGGACACTCCTGCCAGGTATGGTGAGCCTGCCCCAGTGCAAGATCTGTGCCTGGAGAAAAAAGAAGCTTAAAATACAACCTTTACCTCTCCCGACCCTCTCCTGTTTCCTATTAATTAACAGTATTCAAAACTTGCTTTCAAATACTTTGTTCTCCCACATTTTGGAAAATCTATTTCAGTGTTTGGAAAAGACCATGTGAACCTTAGATGATGAAGAGAGAGGAGGTAAAGAACATTCTGGAAACTTCTGCTATGTCCAAAGACCGTTTTTCTGTTCCTACTATGAAATTCTGCCATCAAGATGCAGGTAGTTATGAAAAAATAAGCGGTTCCTAGTTCTTTCTCTTGATCATCTCCTCTTATGGATTAGATTTCTTTTTATATTTCTTGATGAAATGATTACAATGGTTTTCTACCTTGCCTGCATGTTAGAATCAGCGGGGGAGTATTAAAAAAAAACCCTCAATACAAAGAACAGCTTCAGGACCAGTAACATGAGGAAACTGAGGGCTAGGACCCAGGCCAAAAAACGACATTCCATGGTTTCTCTCAGCCAGAGTTGAGGAGTGTGTCTCACTAATCTGCCATTG